CTGTTTTTTTTAAGGAAGAGGTTAATTATGTTGTTGTTTACTGTCATTCGGAACTTAACCTTGTAATTATTACTAGAGTCCAACGGTTATTATAAGCATTGCAGTTGCGCTAATTGCGGCAATAGGTGTCCGAGGCGTGCCGTAAGGAGAAATCCTATACCGGAACGAAGCCTATTATTGTAAAATGACGTTGCTGAGGAAAATAAGGGAGGCGACCTGTCTCGCCAAATTTCGTCGTGATCGCCAAACGGCCCCTCCTACACGCGCACTCATTGGCTTCGGGCGACCGTGCGCGGCCAATGGCGCCGCATGTTACCCCACTCGTTTCCACAATGTGACGGTTACGTTTTCCACCGGCTTCAAAACGTGCCGAATTTGAAAGAAAAACCGCACCGACACAATGTACATATGCGATATAAGCGGCCACACGCTCAGAGATCGAGCGTGGTAGCACGTCCTTCGGCGAGCTCGGTTTGTGCATTTTTTTCCCTTAAAAAAATAAATTCGAGAAGCCGTCGACTCCATTCAGCCTCGTGGCGTAGTGATCACGCCGCCTTCGCGGCATCGTCGCACTCCTTACGTCGGAACTGGGCGAGTTTCGAGTTCCGACTCAGTTCGTGGCTCGCCCGCGACACACGTCACTCGTATCGCGCCACTACGCTCGTCAGCCGCGACACGCGAATTCGTCCGCCCGCCCACCGTGCGTGCGCGAGTAATATTTCCTTTATTTTTTTTAAAACAACAACAGTTAGACTATACAAAAAAAAGTCATCACCACACCATTTTTTCGGACTTTACATACATTTCCGGGTGGTAGTTTTTTCGAACAGTGAAAACTGAAACTTTCAGTTGTGATTGGAAAACGAGGATGTTCGAAAGAACCCGCTTTCGCAGATGCCCGTAAAAGTTGGATACTGAAGTAAGAAGCGGAATACAACCGACCCACACGCTGAATTCATAAAAAGTGGGTAAGTTAAGTAGGTGTATACACTTCAATAGGTTTTGAAACAGCACTTCAAACATTTTATGAGCTAGTTACGAACTATTATGGCTCAATAAAAAATCTATCGCTGTGGAAACTTAAACACTGTTTAAAGCAGTGATATTTGAATGTCTTGTTAAAATAATAAATTTTAAGTCCAGTATAAAAATAGAATTATTTTATAACATAACAATTTTGATTCAAACTCGTTATATCAATTACAGAAATCTTATGAGTAATAGTCACAGCCAACGATTTAACGTCAAAAATAACTTTTGTAACCGCTTAAGATACATGTCAAAGTTTCTTCATAGTCAGTCTATCATTGTCATTGCGGATAACAGAAAAATACTATTCGACCACAAAATAATTCAGACGATTGAGAAGGCAGTAATTTCACACGAAAATAATTTAGCGGAATGTCGTTGTTGAAGCATTTGATGAAGCATAATTTATGCAAAACAAAAGCAAGCAAAATTAATGCTTACAAAACTTTTTGTTTTGCATATTTTGATAAATAATATTTATTGTTGTAGGCGACTTAGGAGTTTTAAAGTTCGGTAATTGTCTTGAATACGCCAATCATATCATACATTTTAATCGATAAAGAAAAGTCGCCGTTAAAATACATAGAGTAAATAAGTAAAAATGTGTCCAATCCTGTATCAAATTATTTAAGTTAACAAACGTTTTAAACTTGCTAACTCCAATGTTTTTCACCGTACAGGACAAAGGACTGTAACCGCGTACTACGAACGCAACCATATTTGTATTGTTCGTAGAACAATTAGACATTATAATTTCCAACGTCTACGTAGCGATTTGAAAAATACCTTTCCCTTGTTCACATAAATACAATATATTTAGATTTCGAGGCGACCTCCAGCTACCTTTAATTATTTAGTTAGGTGGTGTCTGAATTCAAATTACCTTTAAAGAAATATTCTTAATATATTTAATGAAAGCTAACGTATGTATACAATTTTCTTGTTATGACATAAACTTCAATACTGCATCAAGTGGTATTAAAACCTGATTTGGAGATCTTCGGAAATTCATTAATTTTAAGCTATTTATTTATAGAAAAAAATGCAATCTGAGTATGGTTAGCAAATAAAGTTACTAATTTTTATCATTAAAGTATAATCCCAATTCTCTATTTAAATGATTTAAAAAATTATTTACCTATGTTTCATGAACAAAATATTGCAAAATTCACACAATTTTAGCAATGAAATAAGCTGTTAATCTGTTTTAATAGTCTATTTTCTTAACAAAATATCACGGATCTTAACCCTAAAACATAAGAAAGTACCAACTTTCTCATAATTTAGCGCTGATGATAAATCGTGCCATAGGTCGTATAAACAGTGGACTTTAACTTAATTACCCATACAGTTCCACTGTGGTTGACGCATACAGTCAGTTATTTTTCCATAAATATGTATGATTTAATCTTTTTATGAAGTGTTCACAAACGAAAATGTTCTCACTTAAACCTAACTCAACTCCAATTTTACGTTTCAAATTATTTAAGGCAGTGGTAGTACATCTTCTTTACCTACACTTGTTATATTTAATGCTATTAAATTGATTTTGTTTTATTATCAATCTCCAAGAATGAATCAGATTAGGGATGTTTTAAAAAAAACGTCGCGGGAAAACCTTTCGCTTAATTACTCAAATCATCAAATGTTTTTGTTAAAAATTGTTTTCTTTTGCTTTTCTTTCGTAAGCCCTAATTCTTTATACTTTTAATTGAATTATAAAGATTAAATTGAGGCCTTCAGATTTTAATGAATTATAATCTGAAGGCCTCAATTTAATTTCTCATTTAAGATAAATAAACTTTTCCTCATAAACTTCTCATCATCCTTCGAAGAAAAGTTCGTCCTTTTTTATTTATTGTAAAGTACGGAAAGTCGGTATGTTTTTATATATACATACGTATAAATATATACATATGTATAAATATATATAGTTTAATATATAATGTTAACTTGGAGAGGATTTAAAATGTGCTCAAATAAATGAATTTAGTTGAAAACTTTTTTATCATTCTACATACCTAATCATTATTTAAGTAGGCGAAATACTTTTCTGTGTGTAAATGAGCTATTGCAAGTGTAGTGTCTCCAATCAGACGATTACAGTATCTAGTCAAAACTGTTTCACAGCTTGCGGCGATGACAAAGGGGAGGCGTTGTCTTATCCTCCCTTCATATCGGCCATACATATTTTGGAGATCTTTTCAAAACTAATCCAACTTGTTAGGATCAGCATCATAAATGTTTCAAGTAACCTTGTATTTGAAGAGCTGATTAAAGGGACGTTGGTCAGTGTTAAGGAGGAATTAAAAAGTTTAATAAGTTTTTTCAATTAGTAATCGTATGCCTATTTACATACATATACATATTTTTATGTAAATATCTGTCTTTCGGTCTGTATGTTACGCCTTCAACCTATTCTACGCAGACGTAGTCGCGGGCAGCAGCTAGTTTATATATAGTTGCGCACTTATCTCTTTAACTTTTTCCAGATTCCAAAATAACCATACATATTAGTATCTCCGTTAAAGGCCAATTTTCAGAAAAACGTTCTATTTTTGATATACGCGCAGGCAGTTCACCTGATGTTAAGTATAGCACCACAGGTGGACTTGACAGGTTAAAGATACCAACCAACCAGTTATCAACCATTACAAAAGTGAGCCCCGGTTACCTGACTGATCAGACGTAAAAGTACTTCCACTTCATACTGACTCCTGTGAGGGTACTTCCCCGGACAAGCCTGCGTGACGTGACTCTTTCATAGTCGTTAATAGTTAGTTTCATAGTTATTTTAGGCAACATACTACATACAATTTACGCACATACCTTTTTTACGTGACAAAATGGCACACGACTGGCGGTTCACCAGACGTTCAGTGATTACCGCCACCCATGGACATTTGCAACACCCGTAGGGTTGCAGAAGCGTTGCCACCTTTAAATAAAGTGGGCTACTTCACTCAACAGACGAAACTCAGAAGTGTAACACTTCTACTTAACGCCGGTCTCCTGTGAGGTCGTGGTACTTACCCGGACGGACTTGGCCATTCGTGAAACAGTGAACACCATTGCGTGCGCCTGCCACTGTTAAAAGACACATACTATCTTACATTTTGTGATGCCTGATGAAGTAATGACTTTGCGACATGTTGGAAGCATAATGCTTCAAATTTTGTTTGTTAAACCATATAAACTGGTGTAGTAACAGTTCAACATTGAGCTTTATGTCCTAGGGTTGGGTGTTAAATAGCCCTCTTGTAACATCGTTACAAGGGAGGTGACATAATTATGCAAATAAATAGACTGTTAATTTATTTCAATCCTATTAACTTTACAAATAAGATATCATTTATTTTTGAATAAAAAACAGAGGATTAGTTTTTTCGGTGCATATAAAAAGTCCCAACAACAGGGCACTTTTTGATTAAAAAATAAAAACACATTTATTGAGCAAGTTAAGATATTTCTATTACAGATATGTTCCGGTTAGTTATGGAATAAAATATCGGACACGAGTCCACCACGGCTCTGATGACAGGCCAGAGTTCTCTTCCTGAAATTTTAGATGACTTGTTCACAAATCTATGATCCGAATCTCATCGTTAACGCATTGGATCACGGCCTTAAGCTCAGAAATTCAGAATCATCATCAGAATTTCGTGGTGCTCGTTGTAGATGTATTTGTTTCTCATGGGTTGCTCGAGGATTCTTTGAGCCCCAAGTTCGACAATTTTGTTTATACAAAGCCTTTCAGATGGAAATGTGTTACTTTTGAAAAATCATAATCTTTCTCACTTTGCTCCATTACCCATTGAAGGTATTGCCTACGCTTTGTATGGTCTGCTGATTTAAGCTCTTGAGTAAGCTAGTTATTGTACGGATGAAGGTCTGTCGCAAAAATCGTTGTGTAATGGTTCGTGAAATTTGAAATTGTTGAAAACGCTGCCAGACTCTCGCCCACAGCAGCAATGTTTGCAAGTTACCGTATCGGCTGGTACGTCAATGGAAAGGATACTGATTGTAAATGATCGACCCAATTCCTTCAAATTTTTTACCACTCTTTGAATTGTTGACACATTAGGTGCATTTTCTAGACCAAAAATTCCACGAACTTTGCGAGAAGACATTGAAAACGCGTAGTTATTTTGTGAAGCTCTCTATTTTTAATAATTGGAACAGTCATAGGATACCTCTTTCAAATTCCAGATTTGCCAATTGCTCACAATAAATATTACACCAAATTTAAAAAGTTCACTCTTATTGGTACACCCTTTGTAATGAAATAAAAGACCTGTATTTATTATACGTTTATAATTAAGAGTTTCTATGACTTATTTTACTCATTAATTGGACCCAGGATAATTATATAACTGTTATATATCCTAAGAATCTGCTTCATGTAATAAATGCGCCAATAGTACAACTTATCTCTCACAATGTGCGCTGTATAGATTGTTCATTCATATGCCGACACTGTAATCTTTCGGATTCCATTCAACTTCACTCGCCTTCCCATTATTTGCATGAGGAGCGTTGACGTTGGAGTGTGTTTGATCTTGACCGTTGGCGTTTTCGACAGTGGCCCGAAGTGGCGATGGAGCGGCGCTCCATCGGGATAGCGAAGAGGGCGCCGCGCGGATGACTCCAGGTCTGCAGACGGACCACTTCGACATGAACGATCTCCCCCCCGCTGCGTACACGACGGACACGCGCAGAATGCAACTGTACTCGCACGCACACATTCATCCGACGGTGAGTCAGAAGCCTTTGTTGCTCGATCCGATTTACGACGGCCGACGTATATGGTGGCCGCGCGAGCGCACTCCACATCGCGCCATATATGAAAATACCTAGGTTGGCATATGTATATCATATACCTATGTACATATTCAACAGTATCCTCCGATTCCGGCAGGTAGCTAATCCCTATGCATTGTATGTATCCAATTTCTAAGCTATGCCTTAAGACTAAGGTCGTTCACAGATTAAGATACGACAACGATAAAGCATCGTCATATGTTATGGGAGCTTTCTTGTCTATCGAATGTAGATCTTCTAGATTTTAGAGGTTGAGTTATTATGCGTGACATCTATTAACACATCACTAAAAAAGCTAAAAAATTCAACATTTCATTATCATGAAACCTTTGTACCGTTGTTTCTTCGTATATTTTAACTGATTTTGTATTCGTATTTTATTACGTCTACAGTGATAATACTTCATTAGAAGTGATATCTGAACTGTTATTAATTTTTTTTGTGATTTGATAATAGAAATTAGAATTTTTTTACGGTGGTAGGGCCACGCAGCAGCCTCGGCTGTTGCACGAATGGGCTGGCCCGTCCGGGTAAGTACCACGACCTCACAGAAGACCAGCGTAAAGTGGAAGTATGAGAAATACTTTCGGGTTTCGTCTGGTGAGTGAGGTAGCCGGAGTCCAATTTTCAAAAGGTTGTCAACGCATCTGTAACCCTCGGGTGTAGCGGATGTCCATGGGCGGCGGTATTCACTTAATATCAGGTGAACCATCTGCTCGTTTGGCAACTTTCACATAAAAAAAAAAGGAAATTAGAAACTCCTATAACTGCTATATTTGTACTCGATGAGTATTGTTTAATTATCCTATATTAATCCATGCATAAATGAAAGCAAAACTATATTATAGCGTAGTTTTGGTCAGTGTATTAATTGTCATTGTAATAATGGTCAGATAATAAAAAATATAAGATGTTTAGGTTATTTTTATGAGAACAGAAGACAAACTAGAAGATTTTCTAACTGATGTTAAGTGATTACTTCCGCCAATGAAGCAAAAATCCGCATACCTGCTCCATAGCTTTCATAAACAATACAATAAAAATAGATAGATTGAAGAAAAACTATGAAAAGGATAGAAACAAATGGATGGTCGCTATAATATTTCAGGTCGAATTTTCATAAAAGCTTGAAAATGATCAGTTTTTTCCCGTTAATAAATAACGATAGAGTAGACAATCAAACTGAAATTTTATTTTAACCTTTATTTAATTTTATTATAAATAATTTAAATACATTTAAAATACTACTAAATAATATCAGAAACTTTTGGCAGGAAGCAATAGAGAAAGTTTATGTAAAAAATTACAAGAGACAGAAACCTTTACAAAAAACAGAAAACTTTCCCTTAATAAAGTTAACATTCTTATTTTGAAATAAAATATCCAAAAAAAAAAATAAACTGCAGTTCACATGCAAAGCGAGTAATGTATACGAAGTCGTAAGAAATTAATAACTCTCCAATAAAATTCGACACAACAAATGCGTATTTAAACAATAAAATCTCCTACAATAAACGGGCACGGAAGGTTGTGGGGGTGAAGAATTGCGCGAAAATAAGAACAATTTAAAGGTACCACGACTTTTGCGACTGGAGTTGTGTTACCAAGCGCAAAATGGCCATTCACCTTGCAACCTGCCAGCTTTATTATATTCTTGAGAATCTAATTATATTTCAGTACCACTCGTATTATAATAATAATAATAATCGATTTGTTTCCTCCTACAATAATTCACTAAAATATATATACGTGTATTCTATGCGAAAAGTTAAAGTGTGCAAAAAATTACGTGAAAATCATCGAAGTGCTAAGACAGTAGAGACTGCAGCACAAGTACTCGTATTCAATAGAAAAATATGCGAATAATATTATAAATAATAACCAATCATTTAATTTTGAAAATAATTTTTTTTGCACTTTAATTTTCGTAGCACTTTATTCACAATCGCCTTTTCTAAATAAAATGCTACCAAAAATTTTATATAAAGATAAATATAATGAGTTAGTAGAAATAAAATAACATGTTGAGACCAAACAAATTTTTTATGGCGGCGTTATTTGTTGATAAGTTTAGAATAATTTTTACTGAACGAATAGATTTTTGAAAATATTTTTTTTTAACTTTCACTCGATTGGCTCTTTTACTGATAAAGCGATAATAAAGTCAGGACTTCATTATAATGGTGCTTACAACTTTCGGATACTACTATAATTTTGGACCAGAGACTTGTATTCCGGAATCACTAAAGTGAAAATCGTCGTCATAGTATTGCAGGATTTCATTTTGCATATAAATGCACGATATTCGCATAAATAATATTCCCTGATGATCATGACGTTTGTTTGACAAGAAATATGATAATACCGTAACACTGAACTCTACTATCGATCCGTCGTCATTGTCAGTTACATCATCGCCCTTGTTTATTTGACTGTCCAGCGAATTTATTTAAGCGTCTTCAATATAAGATCAAGAATTCGAACCATGGAACGAGATCTAATAAAAGAATATTCTGAATAGGATGAATTTTACTGTAGCAAGTCTTTAATAGTTTTAATAGTTTTTGTACAATTATTTCGATTTTTTTTCATAACGTTTTTGAACCAGAAGATTTATTCATATCGATCAGATTTATTTTCGTGTCTCATAATTATCACGCTAATTAAGTCATTTCGCCAGGCACTCTCAAGCACTACACCAAAATCCCTTTTTAAAATGGGTCACATTTTGGCTTCGAGAGTTTTCTAATTTTCTTGAGTTTCAATCGTCTTTTTAGACTATTATAGCAAAATAGTGACATAATAGAAATATTAGAGCAGAAAGAGTTGCGTACTTACATGAAATAATAGATATTCGCAAGAGAGGTGTCACGTTATACTCTAAAGACGGTGACGTCATGCCTGGTATTCCCAGCAAAATGTTCGTACGTATGTATTTCGATGATCAAATAATAGCAGTGATTTAAAACGAAACTGTGGTCGGGTCAACGTTTACCGGGGTTTTATCACTCGTCCGTGACACGGGTCCATCGGCGTACGAGAAACAGATTGTCAATAAGATATTGCGCCGTTTACTCTGAATCTGGTGTAGGAAAAAAATATGATGAAACATCTGTATCGCAGTTACTGTTGCCACGTGAACTTATTACAGTGATAGACTATTGGCACGCAAGTAACCAACGACATTCGATTAACCTTTCGGTACAACGTTGTTGACATGTTTCCACTGCGCAGATCTGTGCAAATTTATTTTCATCTCAAGTGCACAAACATTTATCGGGTGTAAAATCGATGGATGGATCGTTTTTATATTACAAAACAATGTTGATATTATTAATTTTGAATTTGACATATTAAACTGGTTAAAAATTTAAAAGACACGCTCTATATAATATGAACATTTCTCGCACCTACAATACTAGTATGTATATATGTCTATCGAGAGATAATACACGATCAACACGGAAAGGGAAGCAGAGACTATCGCGACTTGCACCTAGCCCTTGGCCGTTGGAACATGTTTACGATATTATCTACAAACTGGTAACTAACACCGTTCCTGTAACAAAGTGTGCGTATATTCTATTTCAGGCTAAAATTCGAACCTGATAATGATGATATCACGTGCTGTAGAGCTGAGTACAATTCTCTAGAATAAACTTTTAAATAAAACTCAGTTTATCAGGTACTAATTTAATTACTGCGTGAAATAAAGGCGAGTTTGAATTTTTATTTGGTATTTGCGGTATCAATATTTATTCCAATGTTATATAAATAGAGGGACACAGTTTGTTTTCCAAAACCTTATAAACGTTGGGTATCGAAGAAAATGTCGTTCAATTAGTAAATCTTCGTTTTGCTGTTAAGTCATTAGTCTTTTTATTTAAAGGGTATTGAAAACTCTGATTCTCATCGCAAAAACACTTTTTGTACTGAAAGCAACAGGACATCAAACCCTAAAGTGGATTTGATGAAATATTGCACGTCAGTGTAATAAAAAAATTGGTACATTTTTCACAAGTCGTGCTGTTCTTGCATAAACGCTATATAGTCGGTGAGTGACTTAGCGTAAGGGCTGCTACGATAAATAAATTGAAACATTTTGTCGTAAAATTATTTATCATTACTATATTGTTAAAGAGTTTTTCAAACAGTTCTCATCGAATACATTGCATTTGAAATAAACTACCGTATAAAGAGGCGTGTAAGTAAACATAAGTATGTCGCTATTCGCTTTCTCGCAATTTGTACCTACATACAAACAAACAGAAATGGACCTATGAGCCATAAATATATTCAAGGTTTTGCTTTCATGTTTCCTCGTTAAAGTTGTTATTTGTTCATGAGTGTAGAGTCATCTTGTTGTTACCGACTATATAAGATACGTAAGGATCCAAGTTCACAAGTCGCTTGCTACGTGTAACACGACACAAAGACTTTCAGAGAACTCTTAAATTTATTAAAGACATATAATTATTGTGATATAACTAACCACTAAATTATATCTCTAAATGATATTATATTTTAAAATGAAAATCATATCAGGATATTTTATTTAGAGCTTATTACAATGATACCAAAACGAATACAGACCAAATAATAAGACTCTTAAAAAAGTTATTCACTTTAACCGTTGGGCCGGAAAAATCTGATTTGTCATCGACACGCAAAGAAGAAGAAGATTCACTTTAACAAGACTTCAGAACATAGGTTATGAAAAGCGAAACACGAATATGTATAAGTTGAATTTATATACTAAATGAAAGTTTGCTGTTTGCTTTATTTTCCAACCTAGCAATGATGACGGCGTCTAGATAATTTTGTACCCTTATTTTAACAACCGTCGTACAACTTCTACTTATACAGGCGGGGAGTCGAGGTTTTCCTAACATTTTTTATAGGAGAAGTTGGTAAGCGAGCGATTAACCACCTCA